ATAAAAATGACGATCTTGTAAAAACTATAAAATCAGCCTTCAAAAGCAGGATTTTAACGTTAATGTTAATTCCATCAAAAAAGCTTATAGATATAGACAAATTTTTTGAAGAAGTTGAAGAGAAATTTATGAGGTTGATTACAGAACAAATAAAAAAACACAGGGCAGTTAAAATTAATGTTGAATTATTTGGTCAATTTATTTTACAATCAAAAGAAACCATTGAAACAAAATCATTTAATACCAAAAACAAAATTATCACAGCAACAACAGATATGATTGATATTTATAAAACATTTTTATCTGAAATTAAGGAAAAATTGTCGACTTTTGCAGAATATGGATCTGGTTGGGCTTTGGAAAAAATACTTTATTTAGAGATCAACGTTAATAAGTACAATCCCATTAGAGCTTCTTCGTATATCCCATTACCAAAACAGATAGCTAATAGAAGAGCTGTAATTAACATAAAAAATAAAGATCAACACTGTTTTGGGTGGAGTGTAATAAGTGCCATGTTTCCAGTAGACCAACATAGTGATAGAATAAGTTCATACCCTAATTTTTTGGATTATCTTAATTTTGAAGGTATTGAATTTCCAGTGAAGTTGAAGGATATTAAAAAATTTGAACTTTTAAATCAAATATCCATAAACGTTTATGGTTTAGAGAGTGTTTATAAAGATTCCGAATTATGTTATGAGGTAGTTGGTCCTCTTCATTATACCGATAAGAAACTTCCAACTCATGTAAACTTATTGTTAATTAGTGAAGGTAAAAACAATCATTATTGTTGGATTAAAGATATGTCAAGGTTAGTTGCATCTCAAATAAATAAAACAAGTTATAGAAAATATTTTTGTGATGGATGTTTAATTTATTTTAATTCTAAAAAAAAATTAGATATGCATCAAGTATATGATTGTAACCATGTGTTTACAAAAATTCCAACAACTGATATAAAAGTTAATAAATATGGGCAACAGATCCCTGAAAATATTCTCCAGTTCGAAAACTTTCAGAAGCAACTTAAAGTTCCATTTGTAATATATGCCGATTTTGAGTGTTTTTTAAAACCTCTACAATATGAAGAACCAACCAATGATAAGAGTTCTTTTACATTAAACACTTTTAAGCATGAACCATATTCTTTCGCTTATTTCATTAAATGTTCATATGATGATTCTTTATCAGAAATAGATTATTATTTTGGTCTTGATGCAGCTGATGAATTTTGCAAACGAATTGAAGCTCATGTTCATAGAATTTATAATAATTATCTGAAACATGTGGTACCGATGGTTCCTTTAACAAATGAACAAGAATTTCAATTCGAAAATAGTATCATTTGCAGTATTTGTAAGGAAAAATTCAATCCTTTAGATGAAAAAGTAAGGGATCATGATCATTTAACTGGAAAATATCGAGGAATAGCACATAATATTTGTAATTTGAACTACCAGCTTCCCAGTTTTATTCCTGTGTTTTTCCACAACCTCACAGGATATGATAGCCATCTATTCATCAAACAACTTTGTTGTGAAAATGATAAAATTGATATTCTTGCACAAACTAAAGAAAAATACATTTCATTCACAAAGTCAATATTGGTTGACAAAATTGAACAAGCTGATAAAACGAAAGTTAAGCATGTTTTTATTAGGCTCAGATTTTTAGATTCTTTCCGTTTTGTCGCTAGTTCATTAGAGAGTCTTGGTAATAGCTTAGATATCAATCAATGTGTAGAAATTAGAAGATATTTTCAAGATTCCAATCAGTTCAATGAAATTAGAAAAAAAGGAATTTATCCTTATTCTTATGTAGACTCCCTAGACAAATTAAATGAAACCCAACTTCCAAGTATTGAAAACTTTTATGATAAACTTAAAGATACTCCCTTAGATCCTTCAGATTATGAACGAGCTATTCATATTTGGAATTTGTTCCATTGTCAAAACCTAAGGGATTACACTAAGATATATTTATTATCAGATGTTCTCATATTGACGGACTTTTTTGAGGCTTTTCGAAATGTATCCCTTAATATATATGAATTAGATCCTGCACAATACTTTACAGCACCTGGTTTATCTTGGGATGCAATGTTGAAATTTACAAGGGTTAAATTAGAATTATTAACAGACATTGAAATGTTACATTTTTTCAAAAACAGTATTCGGGGTGGAATATGTCATTGTAGTGTTCGAAAAGCTGAGGCTAATAATCCATTTCTTCCAAATTTTGATTCTACGGAACCCAATTCGTTTATTATGTATTTGGATGCAACTAATCTTTATGGACATAGTATGTGTCAATGTTTACCTACAAGTGATTTTTCTTGGATGACTAATGAAGAAATAGATTCTCTTGATGTTTTATCCATACCAGATGATTCTGAATATGGATATGTATTTGAAGTAGATATCAAATATCCCCTAAATTTACATAAAAAGCATAATGAATTACCTTTTTTAGCTGAAAATATATGTCCACCAGATTCATATCAAAAAAAATTAATTTGCAGTTTGAATCACAAAGAAAAATACACAATTCATTATAGAAATCTCAAACAAGCAATTGAAAATGGACTCAATGAAATTAAATTTCACAGAGGTATCAAATTTAAACAATCTGCATTTCTTAAACCTTATATAGATTTAAATACAGAAATGAGGAACAAATCTAAAAGTAAAATGCAAAAGGACTGTCATAAATTATATAACAACGCTATTTATGGCAAATCTTTAGAAAATATTGATAAACGAGTAGACATACGATTATTAACCCATTGGAAAAATATTAATAATAAACAGGGGGCTGAATCACTTATAGCTAAACCTAATTTCAAAAGTTCATTAGTGTTCAACGAAAACCTAGTAGCAATTCAGTTAGAAAGGGTAAAAGTAACATACAATAAACCTGTTTATGTTGGTTTCACAGTATTAGAACTTTCAAAAACTGTAATATATAATTTTTATTATCAGTATATTAAACAAAAATATGGAGACAATGCAATTTTATTGTACACTGATACGGATAGTTTAATTTTACATGTTAAAACAGATAATTTTTATAAAGACATTCAAGAAAATCTTGAACGATTCGACACTTCTAATTATGATGAAAATAATGTTTATAACATTACAAGAAATAAATCCGTGCTAGGTCGCATGAAAGATGAATTTGCTGGACAACCGATACTCAGCTTCCTAGGAACAGGTGCTAAGGCATATTGTGTTAACTTGAAAAATAGATCTGAGAAAAAAGCAAAAGGTATAAAAAAATATGTAGTTCAAAATTCAATTAGCCAAGAAGATTATAAAGACGTAGTTGAAAAGTCTGATATTAAATTTAGAAAAATGAATATCTTCCATTCAAGTTTGCATAACATGTACACACAATTAAAAAATAAAGTTGCTTTGTCTCCTGAAGATGATAAGCGTTATATTATTCAAGGAATTTTTAGGACTTTGGCTTGGGGTCATAGAGACATTAATATATTGAGCGATGATAATATTTGTGATGATGAAGACGTTAATGACGTAATTAAAGTGCTTCAAGGATTAGCTTGTGATTCCTATAAATTGTGATAATTATTAAAGCATATAATCATTTGAAAGTAATCATGCTACCAGCAGGACTCTTGTTTCTTTCTGCATTTTTAAATAGTACTTTGTTTATACAAGTCAATTACAATGTAAGAGAGACGTTTATATGTTTATCAGCTAACAATGTAAAAAATGATACATGGCCATCAGCATGGAAAAGAATGGATTATTTGAATAATGGTCTTTATTCTTATAAACTTGGAAAAAATATTGATAATTCTTCTAATGTTGATTACAAGTTACGGATTTATTTTGTAGATAGAAACTATGTAGAAACAAAAGAATGGCACAAATTATATGTAAAGCCATGTGAAAATAATTTAGATGTGAGTCTAATAATTTTCTCTATTATATCATTTCTATCATTTATTACTATATTATGTTTTCTTTTATATCATGTATATTTGTATTACAAATAAAAGTTTTTGAATTTTCATTTGTGTGATTTTTCCTTGACCAACTCATCCAAAATTTATGTAAAAGGTGAAAAAAGGGAAGGTATACTAATACCCACCTCTCAAAATTTTCATCATGTCTACTTTGTCTTGATATATAAATGAAAAAATGAAAAGTGTTGCTATCATTCAGTTTCAAACTTTTGTCTGAGTATCAATAATAAAATGTTCCAAGCAACCAACTACTATCAACAACCAAAAAAAATGGAAGAATTTGGTAAGAACCGAAATGGAACCCTAATTGGAGAAAAAAAGTACTACATCAACAAATCACAATCCAAGTGGGTCAGCGTTGGATTTTCCTTGGAGAGAAAATATATTCCCGTTGTTAAGCTAGGAGGATACAAAAATAAGCAAAATGTGATTTTTGATGAGGAACAATGGATATCCTTTTTGAATAACCAGAAAAATTTGTTAAGTTTTGTTTACTCTAAAAGTTCGGGATGGCAGTCTTTGTCAGGAAATGGCTACGAAATTCAGTTTGTGTTTATTGGCGAATCAAGAATAATCAAAATTACTCAAGATGGTGGAAACGAAATTTTTTTGGCTGGTGAAACTATAAATGAACTCATAAATTTGGTTAACTTGATAAAGTATCGTTTTGATCTACTTAAGAGTCAAGAATTTTTAAATTATTACAACAGAGTAATAAGCATGGTATCCAATAAAAATGGTGATTTGAACAAAAATGTATACGAGAATATTTCACCTTCAACTAACCCAAATAGTGAAAACGTTTCCTGTGTTCTGGAATTGCTAATTTTCCATTCTGATTGTATTATAGAAGATGTGGAAACATATGTATGTAACGAATTTGTTAATAAATTGGAAAATAAAAAGTATTAGTACCAACATACCTACTCTTTATTACCTCCCTCCACTAAACAAGTAATATTTAAGCTTCAGGAGCTGTTTTGATATTATATAACTAGTCAAGATGTGGTTAGCTTATGTACAAGAAACTCCAACCTACAGCTTGACAACAGCAGTTGAAAATTTGGCACAACTTTTTAGAAATTTGGAATTTGACGCGGAGCATGAAGCTAATTGTGGATTTGAAAGGTTCAAAACGATCGAAGAATGTATGGAACTTGCAAGAAAATATAGCAAAGCGGAGGAGGCTTGTAATACCTACTTACATACTTTGGATCTGACAACATTCCTTACTACCATAAAACACATGGATTTTGCTCATTTTTTAGATAAAGTGAAAAGGTTTGCTCCGAAAGAAATTATTCAGGAAGTGTTTAATAATAAGTTGAATATGTAACTTATATCATTATCAAAGAAAATAAACAAAAGTTCAAAAAAATAAGTGTTTTATTCAATCATTATAAAATTATTATATAAATAGAATACATTACTAAGTGCACATATACATTGTGATTTCAGATGGTAAAAACATTCAGGTTGTCCTTTTTGAAGAGCCGGCTTATCTTCAAATTCCAGAACAGGCTTCAATGAGTATTTTCTAATGTATTCGGACTTCTCTTTCCCTTTTACGTAAACATTGTCTACTTTTCCTGTTAGATTTTTGACAATGTCTGCAAACTTATAAATTGGAGTGTATCCCTCGTTCCAACAAATACAATGATGATTATGAATTAACCAATTTGCTTGTTTACATAAATCAGGTGGTAAATGTTGAATATCAAATGGTGGTCTAAAAATATAGTGGCATATTTTGGTACCATCATAGGCAGCTAGTTCCTTGGGTATAAATTTGTTATTTTCTATTGTAAATCCTTGCACATCCAACACTAGTTTATTCATATTTTCATATTGGAAAATGCTTTAATCATAAACTTTTTTTCTGAGTATTCTTGTATTTGTTTTTTTAATTGCTGTAACTTCTTCATGTAACGAGATAGTTGTACATCCAATTCGGTCTTCATGATACTGATAATTTGAGATAAATATCTGATTTATATAAACATAAAAGCATGCGCATTATAGCTGCTTTACTATTTTGGTTAGAGGATTATAGCTGAATATTTTATCATGAAGGATCAGGCAGTATGCAGAAGTATCTTTTTTGACATTGGTGCTTGTTTCAAATTCAACTCTCATGACAACAGATCCTGTTTGAATTGACTCTTTCTGATGAGAACAGTCGATGTGTGTTATGGGAGAAATATTTTTGAAATCAGTGGGATTAAACACTGGCTCAGTTGCAATTCCATAATAGGAATGTCTGAAGTTTGCAAACATTTCATATAAGGCAGAAAAATTATTGTCTTTGAAATTTAAGTGCAAATCATGATAAGGATAACGTTCAGAATTTAAAAATACTCTTATATTAGTTAGATCAATATCATCAAACTGACTCATATCTTTTTTAACTTGCCCTTTCCGATCTATTTGAAAGGCTACTACAACATGACGAGGAGATTCGAGTTTATTTGTCGTTTTCACTGGCCAGGTATGTCTAGTTGTTTCTGATATAGACGAATATTCAACAATTTCCCAACTTCTAAATCCTAGAAAGATTTCTTTGTTAGATTCTAGTATTTTTGATAATGCCAGTTGTTGAGGTATGTCTACTGTTATGTGTGGAATTTTCCAATACAATTTATCGAAGGAGATCATTGGAGTTTCATCAGTAATTACTTTGGTCTCCAAATCATCTTTAAACAAAACAGCATCTAAATCATTACTTGCTCTAATAAGAACTAATTCTTGTTTCATATTGATTATAATTTTTTTATAATCTTCGAAAAATCCTAAAAACATTTTTAGTGGTATGGAAACACAAAACTTTCCATTATCATCCACCAAAATTCGTTCGGCCTCTTGTCTTTTTGGAAACCAACCTGCATTCTGTAGTTTTAGACTTTCATTAGTATTGTGTGAAAGATAACCTTTTAGAGTAGAAGCTAATCCGACATTTCTCACAGAGTCTATAGTGACTCCGTTTAACTCATAACGAATTTCTCTAAAGAGAAAAGCAATACCGTTATTGACAAATCTTAACCTTTTTGTATAGGTTCCTTCATTATTGACTAATTTTCCTTCAATGTAAAGTAAGCTTTCTGATGGTAAAGTAAATGTATCAAGCTCTTGAATGGGTATTCGTATTTCATCATTGTAATCAAACTTTGAAGAGATAAAGGGTTGGTAGGTGTGAAGTTCGGAACTAACAATTGAATTGTCTACGAAAAGTTTTTCGTTAACATTTAAAATGTCCATTATATTAAAACTTTAAATCCTAAAGACGTGAGAAATTGATGATTTTCCCGTGTCAACCGGTTCACGTTTTCCTTGTTAATGAATTTGTTTTCAGATTTTTTTCTTTTATAAGATTTTTTTTCAAATAAAGGTAAAGACTGGATAATGGAACTTCTATTATATCTAATAACCATTTCAAATACTATCTGTTTTTAAATGTAACCTAACAGTTATAGTTTCACCTCTAAAACTGATAAGATCTCCGTCCTGATCGACAACTTTTACGGTTATGTTGTTTATCGCTTTAACGCTGACTGGAAAATATAATATGGGTAAAGGTGATTCTACTATTTTATACCCTGGAGCTACAGCTGGATAAAATTGATGAATTATATGAACAGGTTTGCCATTGTTGAATGATCCCACACAAATATTACAATCAATGCAAATTGCATTCACCTTAGTTATATTTGCAACATAGTCTGCATTATCTAATGTATTGGGTTCAACTAATCTATTTTTGAAACCCAATAATTTCCCTATTGAATCATCCTTTGTGAAATCGATGCGTTTACTACACATTATATTACATTTAAGGGTATTAACATTTGGTAGCAAAAAAAAAACTACATTTTCGCTTCCAAAAATGCCTGTAATCTCGCGTTTTAAGTATGTTTCTATATCAGTAATATCATAAGTTCCATCCGGTATAGTTATTATTTTATCATCTATGTAAAATTTATTATGACCTGATTCAATATTAGGAATGGTCATGAAAGTTTCAAAATCTGCTAGCCCCAAGTAGTATTGTTTGTCATCATCTAAATATATTGGTGGATTAAAATCTGCAGATAATACAGAATCGTTTCCTGATATCGCAATAGTTGTAGACATTGGAACTTGTACGATAATGTTTTTTCCTAATAGAACATCAAGCTTATATATTACTTTGCAGAAAAGAGAGTGCTAGTTGTCCACAGTTGACTGAATCATATTTTTGTTTATTTTCATAGGTGTAAAATACATTTGTTTTACCATTCGAATTAAAATATCTCACCAGTTCAAGAGGTGGTTTAAGGTTGCCATAACTATCAAAAAATATGGCTACATCTTTATTTTTGATATAAGCTGTCCAATGAGTACCAGCATGGTGTTTGCTATCTAAATTAACTATACCACATTCTACCTTTCGAATTTTGTTTGGAAGATCATCACGCATAAAGACACCTCTAAAATATGGTAGTTTGATTTTTTTAATATATTTCAATAAATCAATATTGCTAAGTGCTCGTCGTGGTAATTTTATTTGAATTTTTTTTTTTGGATTTTTTTTTTTCAATGGATCCACCTTTAAATGGTTTAATGTATAATCCCTTCCCTTTAATCCGTTTATTTTTTTTAAAACCCAATCCTTTTCCTTGTGTTAGGTTTTCTATAGCTTTATTATGACGTTGAAGTTCCTCCAACTGTTGTCTGGATGCTTTAGCATCGTTTACTGCTTTGGCAATCGACGCGGCACCGCCTCCCAAGGCGCCGATGGCACCCAAAATAGGAAGTAAAAATGGTAAAAAACCACCAATTTTTTTGGGTGTTTTTATAACACGTTTTTTTTTTTTTATTTTTTTCATACCCATTCCAAGCTTGCGTTTTCCTTTCATTATACCAGCAACCATCAATGCAGCGCTTTTTTCACCGAGTGAAGAATCTGCAGCTTTTACTCTTGTCCAAGCTTTTTTCTCTAGAATTTGATCAGCCTCGTGTCTTTTTGCTAAATCGTTAGATTGAAAATATGCTATATCATGTTCCTGACATGCAACATCCAACGGATTTATACCACTATCACCCCTAGCTAATCTTTTTTCTAACTCAGTTCCTGGGCCACAATAGTTATATCCGCCTGGTATATGAAGCTCAAATGGAAGCTTATTAATTAATTTGTTAACTAAACCTGAACCTTTTTTAAGTTTCTGGTTTTTAGTAATATTGTGTATGATCATTAAAGAGATTAATCCGATACTGAATCAAAATTCAGCGTGACTTTGTTATAAATACTTCCATACTTAGGAGAAGGACGTCAGTAATATTAAAACATGAGGATTGAAAAGCAAAAATTCTCTTTACCTGTAACTAATCATGATGAAAAAGTATTAACAAAACAATTTAGAAAACATGGTGATTTATTTTGTGGAGGATCTAAAAGAGGGCTTATTGTCGGTTGTAGTGGTTCTGGTAAAACTAATGTAATGCTCTCTTTACTCGAACATCCTAATGGTATTAGATTTGAAAATGTTTACGTTTATTCAAAATCATTAAATCAACCAAAATATGAATACTTGAAAAAACTTTTGGAACCTATAAAAGAAATCGGTTATCACGAATATGATAATGATGAAAGTATCATTTCTCCACAAGATATAAAACCAAATTCAGTTATAATTTTCGATGACATTCCCTGTCAAAACCAAAGTGTTATAAGAGATTATTTTACGCAATGTAGACATCAGAATACTGATTGTTTTTTTATATTTCAAGGCTACTCTTCAATTCTCAAACGTTTAATCCGTGAAAATACAAATCTTTTAATTTTATTCAAACAAGATTCTATGAGTATGAAACATATATATAATGATCATTGCATAATGGATATGACATTTGAGCAGTTCAAGAATATGTGCAGTTTTTGTTGGGAAGACCCATATGGATTTCTTTTAATTGATAAAGATTGTGCAATAAATGCAGGTAGATATAGAAATAAATTTGACACTTTCATATATCTATAAAAGTGCAATTTTCCACTATTTGTTTTTATTAAGAACTTGTCTAAGATGGATGAACGTTTAGCTAAGGAGTTAATTAAATCTAGAAAATCAGTGAGAGAAAAATATCATAATTTGAAACTAGCAAGCACGACAACACAATCACAATTGGAACAAACCTATAAACCAATAACAGAACCACTAAAACAACTAATTTCTACTATAGGTGAACCGATAGTACTGAAAGAAGAACCCTTTAGTTTAAAAGAAGAATTTGTAACACCAAAAAAAAAATACGAAACTTCAACACCAAGCAAACAGAGAATAGTTCGAAAAACAGGAAAAACTCCCATTTTACCATCAGAGATACCATCATTTTTTGATACTAGTGTTGCTTCTGTTAGTCAATTTCCTTCTATACAGGAAACAACTGTTTTAGCTGAAACTAGTCCTTTTCCAAAAGGTAGTACTAGTGAAAGTTTAAATTTGTCCGATATATTGGAACAAACTAAGCAATCAATTAAAAATTATATAGACTCCCCATCTTACCAAGTGTATTTGTCAGATTTTCATAAATTACCTAGGTCCTATATTGATGGAAGCGTAAGGGATACAGAACATAAATTCGATCATAATTATGGAGTAGTTCATGATATTGATGGTGAAAAATTTTTTCTGGGTCTAACACAAAAACCCGTGAAAATAGTTGGTAAAAATATTGTAGTAGAGGGTAGAACTTATGAGGGTACTGTGGGTTTATACGAATTACTTTTTAAAAAGGAACCTGTTGGCTTCAAACCCAAAGATTTGGATAATTATATGGACATTTTGAAAATAACAAATGCATACCGTAGAAATAATGACCCCAATGAACAAGTTCAAGGAACCGCATCTACGAAATATATTACAATTATAGGTCCATATCTTCAAAAGAAAGGAATTACAAAATCTAAAACAATAAATCCCGTTAGACCAACTACTTTCGAAAAACCTATTGCCCCATATCGAATAAGTACTCGTAAAGTTACTAAAGGTAAAGGATTCACTTTAAAAATAAATAAAACAAACACAGACTATGTGTACTGGAATGATGTAAACGAACTTGTTGATAGACTGCGTTTTTTGGTAGCATCTGTTAATGCAGGCAATACTGCTCATCATAATGAAATTTTATCTATTATTGAGGAATTAAAAGAGGCTAATATTATATTATAAATATCAAAAACTACATAAACATTACAGTTGTTTATCATCAATCAATCATGACAGTTGATAAATTCGGTCGTCATATTTCGAAACGTAATTCAATGAATAAAACGTCACTAGAAAATGTCGATTTTTCTACCGTTGAAAATACAATTTTAAACAACTTGAAAAAAGACCTAACTTATTTTGGAAAAAAAATAAATGAAGATTTTGAGAATAGATTAAAACAGGATGTGATTAATGTTAATAAAAGGTTGAATGAAAATGATGTAAAAATCGAAAATACTGCAAAAAAAATTAAGCTTTTTGAAAATGATTTAAAAAAAGACATTATTGATTGTAGTGCATCAACAAAAAAAAATTATGAAAAGCTAACAAAATTTGAAGGTGATATTGAAACAATAACAAAATATCATAATGATGTTATTGATTTGAAAAATTATTTTGAAACCGAAATAACGAAATTAAAAACATACATGAATGAAACATCAAAAATCGATAGTGTTCAAAAAAGCATAGAAGATAATCTCAAATTAAAATTTGAAAATTTTTCAACCAAAGTTTATGATAGAGTTACGAAAGAAGTAAAGTACTTCAAAAATAATCATGATAATATTGATAAAAATATAAAGCGCTTGGACAGAACTTCAAATTTAAATGCACTACTACGAAAAAAAAATACTGACGATATCGCATTTATAAAGGAGCAATTAAACACAATTTTGACACAAATTCCAAAGCTAACATCGATACAAAGTTCAAGTGAAGAAGAAGTACGTAATCTTAAAATTAAATAAATGACATTGAAATGAATACTAAAGAAATTACTGAGTTCAAAATCAATTAAATAATATTTCATTGGACATTTCGAGATTGTCATCTGTACAAAATTCAAAGATGGAAGAACAACTGAAACTCACAACCGAAATTACTGAAATAAAATCGATTATCAAAGTGATTACCGACCTAGAAAATCAATTCAAGATTATTTCAATGAAAGTTATAGATTTGGGAAAAAAAATTGATGAAATAAAAAATCTAAAGGTTGATGAAGACGTAGAGTTCAAAATTGATCAAAAAGTTGAACAAATCAGAAAATATGGAACCAAGGATATTGAATTATTAAAAGAAAAATTAAATACAATTTTATCACAAGTTTCAGAATTGTCTTTTACGCAAATTTCAGGCAAAAAAGAAATAGAACAGCTTAAAATTGATATTGATGACATTAAAATCAACACTAAAGGAATTACTGATTTCAAAAATCAATTTAATAATATTTCAACAGAAATTTCCAAGTTTTCCTTAATGCAAAATTCAAACAAAGAAGAAATACTAAAACTTGAAACTCAATTGACAAAGATACAACTGGTTACTAAAGTTGTTACCGACCTAGAAAATCAATTCAAGAATATTTCGAAGGAAATTTTAAATTTAGGTAAAAGAATTGATGAAATAAAAAATCTAAAAATTGATGTAGATTCCAAAATTGATCAGAAAGTTGAAAAAATTGAAAAAGATATTCAGTTATTAAGAGAATATGTTGAAAATGAGGACAAAAAATTGAATGTGGGTATTAATAAAATAAATGAAACTATGGGAACCAAAATTAAAGAAATAATTATTGAAAATCTCAAAGCAGAAATTGCACAAGTGAAAGATAAAATTGAAAATATAAGTACAGCTCAACTAGACAAAGTAAATAATCTTCTCAATGGACAAAACCTGGAGGAAGTATCGTTGACAAAAAGACGGTTGATATTTTCTATTCAATCTACAATTCCAACTATAATTAAGAAATTAAATGAAGAATTGAAGAAAATAGAAGAAGAAGGATTAGGTGATGTCGAGAATAGAACAATTAAATATCTAAGAATCCACATTAAAGATTGTCTTGATAATATAAATGGAGAAATTGACAAAATATTTGAATATTTAAAGGAAACAGATGAAAAAATCATGATTAATAAATTGGAAAAATGGGTGGAATCTTACAAAAGCTATTATGATAACTATTATTTAAAAAAATTTAATAAATGAGGCTACAAAAACAAATCATGATCAGTACTAACTAAATTGTCTACCATGATAAAAAAAAATGTAAAATGACTACCATTAAGGATCAAGTAGTTAATGAATTACACAAAACTGCTCGAAGAAAATATAAACGAAGAAGGGTGATTATTAAAGGGTTAAATGATCTCTTCGAGGCTGATCTGGTTGAAATGCAACCTTATGCTAAGTTCAATAAAGGATTTAAATATATTCTGATAGTTATTAATGCGTTTTCAAAGTATGTATGGGCGGAGCCGATTAAATCAAAGTCGAGCAAGGATGTGACAGCAGCAATGAAAAAAGTTCTCATCAATGCAAAAACTACCCCACACGAAATTTACATACAGACAGGGGAAGAGAATTTTATGGTCATCATTTTCAAAAACTCATGCAGCAATATCAAATTAATCACTACAGCACATTTTCAAATTTAAAAGCTAGTGTTGTGGAAAGAGTAAATAGAACATTGAAAAATAAAATGTGGAAACAATTCAGCTTACAAGGAAATTACAAATGGTTAAATATTTTACCAAAAATAGTGACTGAATACAATAACACAAAGCATTCTACAACGGGACTTGAACCGTCTAAAATATCTAAGAAAAACGAAAAGGAAATATTTTCAAACACTTACAAACACATAAAAAGTATCGATATTCGAACTTCAAAATTCAAAATCGGTGACTTTGTGAGAATAAGTAAATATAGAGAACTATTTTCCAAAGGTTACACACCAAACTGGTCCAACGAAATATTTAGAATCAAAGAAATTAAATTGACCAATCCTACAACATATATTTTGGAAGATCAAAAACAAGATGAAATTCAAGGTGGATTTTATACAGAAGAACTACAAAAGGTTCAAAATCCTGACGTTTATTTGGTTGAAAAAATTTTAAAACGAAAAGGAAACAAAGTGTATGTTAAATGGCTTGGAATGGATAACTCATTTAATTCTTGGATATTAAAATCAAATGTATTATAGAAGGCTAAATCAATAAAACACTTTTTTAAATTTTTATTTCATTATTGAGTTATTGAAAAATCCATTAGTATGAACTCGTTGCTGCACCAATCTTGATTATCAAGGCTCGAGGGCACAGACAAAATTTCGATGGTCCTACCTCGAATTAATTTTTTATTTAAAGTCGATCTTTGGTCCGCGTTGTTTGTTGGTGAATGTTTCGATATAATCATAGTTAGTGGTGATTTTTTTTATAGCAGCCTGCTTGAGGATATGAATATTGAAACACAAGTGTAAGGTAAATTAAATAGTGCATTTATTTTTAAAATTAAACTTTAATCAATTAATCAATTAAAAAATTGATAATTACCTACCTACATTCTATAAGTCTAAATAATTAATAATAAAAATAATAATAACAAGTATATGAATAAGCTTAAATTAGTTCCATTAAATGTTTTTGTTCGGTTTCTTTTCTGAAATTTTCCTCAATTAAATGTTTTCTGCTATTAATTATATTTAGAAGTTGCTTACAGTATAAAACTTTTTTCGAATACATTTCCATTTTTTGGAAAATTTGCTTTTCAGTTTGATTTAGTTCATCTAGCTGAAAAGATTTTTCAGCTATGATGACAGCTTCGGCGTTCATTTCTTCATTTTGTTCCATTTCATCATAATCTTCATTAGCAGGACTTTCTGGACTTGAAATGTCAATAATCTCGATTTGAGATTTTTCTTCTGGACACAAAAATTTCTCCAGATCCTGGTTGATCTCGATTTGAGATTTTTCTTCTGGACACAAAAATTTCTCCAGATCCTGGTTGAATTTATGATCTGGAGTCAATATTGATTCGATGGCTTTTTCGATTTCATCTTCGTTTTTCTGTTCGGTTCTTCTTATCAAATGTTGTTTTATTATGATTTTGTTAGCACACATTTGGGCCAACTCAAATGCAGCTGGTTTGGAACACATTCTCGATTAAAAAATTAATAACTGAAAAAATTTTAAAAAAATATATCCTAGACTTAGGATTAATATTTATTTATACACTTATTATTATTATTTTTATTTATTTAGACTTATTATTATTATTTAAACTTATTACTTGGACTATTGTTTAAATGCAACTATGCAACTGAATACTGGAAGATTTCTAGTCCGCTTTTATTGGAAAATTGTAACTTAAAAATGGTTATTTTTGATTTTTTTTATTCAATTTAAACAGGGTGTATACACTAAATGATAAAATTCCCCCAAAGAATTTTAAAAACGAAAATATGGTGGGAACTAATTTTTGTAATTCAGTTACAAAATGTCATCTTTTCGACATTGATTTTAGTTGTCAAAAATGGTTCATTCTAACACAAACGTCAAAAATAAACAGTGTGTTCTAATATAGTGTTAAAATGAGAAGTGGTCCAACACATTGTGTGTAAAAAACATGCTCATTTTACAACTTGTTACATAAATAACTATTTTGCTTTGCAAATCTCGAAAGCCATTTTATTAGAACAAATATATTTCTATATATTAAGTAAAAGTGTATGACACCAATAGAAAATAAAAGTTTAATTGGATAAAATTGGTTTGTAAGTCATTGAAAAATTTCACATGTTTAAAACCTCATATAATAAATCCATAAAAATTTAGTAATATTTTGATTTCTGTAGCCCATGCATTGAAAGTTTTCCACCCTGTATTCTTAAGGTAATTCCATTAAAGTGCATGCAATTTAAATCTGGTCTTGAGATATAAATTATTCTACGCGTACTCCCTACATAATTATACTGTCTGTAAAAATGCGATGATCGTTGAACCTAAATGGCCGTGAACATTTTTATGAAAACAAGATCCATTAAAATTTCTGCACTCCGTATATGTCTTCAATTTTATCTTATAATTAAACAACTTCATTGTCTGTAAAAAATACATTTTATCGAGTTCATTCATTGCACTTTAAATGACCATCATTTGGAGGTCGTCTGGTTTGATGGAGGACTTTGGAAAGAAAAATGCACTAATTTTTTAAGCGATTTGGCTTTATTTGAAATAATCATACATAATTGGATAAAATCATTTTATTACAATAATAACATTTTTCTTGTGAATCTGGTGGACCATCAAAGTGAGTTCTCCATTCTGATCTGTTGTGATGAATATGGCATGGTAACTTAATTTGAAGAATGAAGTTATTTTTGTAACTTATTGGTAATTTACCCCACGATTCCAAAAGTTCAAAGGGCTTTGCATGTTTCAATAAATAATCTAACGGAATTCTCAATAGTTCTTCGCTTGTAAAATCTGAGAGTAATTTTTCACCATTCATATGAGCTAGAACATTGTCTATAGAAGAACAACAATTCATTTTTGAGTTTTTCAGTATTGGTGATTGTTAATAACTTTACTATTTTTGCAATATAACTTTGATAGCAATTAAGCGTTAAGCGATTAACAATAACGGTCTGCTTTTAATTTTGAATCCTTTCAAGAGCTTCTACATCCCATGGAGTTTGCAACACTATTGAGGAATAAAAATTCAGGAATTGTTTAAATATTCTTTAATTTTCAAGAAAGAGTAGAGGTGGGTATTGGTTTGATAGCTGAAGCCTTTGATTTGAAATTTTGGGAATTTGACCTGTTAATCCGGGTCCCGTGGGAACTTTTTCGATAGCGTGGGAAATTTTTCGATAGCGTGGGAACTTTTTCAATAGCGTGGGAACTTTTTCGATAGCATGGGAACTTTTTTGATAGCGTGGGAAAATCGGTTCCTTTGATAT